ATCAAGCCCTCAATACACGATATATAGTGAAAATTCATCCTCTTAGCACTTATTCTTAAAGAAATGTAAACTGTATTTTGACGTTAAAGCAAACTACTTGCTAGAAGAGATGTTCAGGAGGAGAATATAAGATACTCAGGTTTAAACAGGACGGATGCTTTAGAATCTCGTCATTTCTCACCAGGCCATCTAAGCGGTCCCTGTGGTTTCTGTGATAAGACAAGGAATCAATGGGAGGTCAATGTTTGGTGTTAAACGTTAGCCATCATTTCTCATCAAGACTCCTGTGTGTGTAATAATCAGAGATTTAGGCCGTGTACACACACATGCAACCAGCACAGTGTAAGTGGCTCGGGAGCTCCGGGTTAGCCGTGCTGCCGGCTGGGGTCTGCTGGAGCAGCTCCCGGATGTCTGCTAACCAGCCCTCAGTCTAGTCCCACATTTCCAAGCTCACATTCTCCTTGGAAAGGCCTTTGTTAGCCAGGAGCGGCCAAGCGCTGGTTGCTCTGGACCACGATGTTTGGTAGTCACTCTGTCTGTCCCATAGCCCTGCCATCAACAGGCCCCCTGGCCTGGGTGAAGAGGCCCCTTCAGCCGCAGAAAGCTGGGTGTGCAGGGGAGGCCTGGGAGGCCTCATGCAGCTGTTCTGGACGCTGCTGCAGCTCTGGGCTCGCCCTGAGGCCAGGAGGCCTGCTTCGTGGGAGGAGCCTGCAGAGCTCAGCGCGGACTTCCTCTGAGTCCTTCAGGCGCACAGAGCCTTTGTGGTACCCTCAAGGGAGTCTGATTCGATGGTGGGCAGTCTGAGCCTGCAGTGACTTTCATCAGTGGGACATCTCTGACAGTGAAAGAAGCTTTGTCAGCGAGAGGGAACAGAGGAGGCCCAAAAGCCCGGCCGCAGGACCATGACTGCTGGACAGCGCGGACACTGGGAGCCTGGCCAGGGGGCGGGCGGGATTCAGGATGTGCTCAGACGACCACCGGCTGTCGCTCTGGGGACTTGCGGTAAAATGGTTACAAAGATAACTTAGAGATAAACACAATTTATCTCCCTAGGCTGAATGTGATGCTCTTCAATAGCAGTGATCTGAGGCCACATTCACAACCCAGCATGGACTTGGGATTCTACGTGACAGAGTCATGGCCATCCAAGTCTGATGTCACACACAGACACACGCGCATGCACGCACACATGCATGGACGCATCGTCAGTTCCAAATAGCACCCCCAACGCATGCTACACAGAAGTAAACACGATGGAAGTCGTCTGCACCACGCTACCGTTTTGCAGTCCTTGAATCTAACGTGTGAATGTTACCTGGACCCGAGAGACACCAACTTCAAATGCTGGAGACAAAGTTCTGGGGACAAAGTTGGCCCCGGGGCAACTCGGGGGGCTGGGGCCCAGGTGCGGTGGTTCCTCACGGAGTCCTCCCTGCTTGTGTGTGTGTTTGGTTTTCCATAGTAAGTACCGTTTTAAACCAAACAGTTCTGATCCTGACACTGACACCACGGGGCGCTGTCGTAAATGCTGTCATAAGCGTTTGTATCTGAAAGAGCCTCAAAAAGTCCAAAAACGTAACAAGTGGGTTCTTCTCAGAGCTGTTTAATATGGAATTTTTTTGGTTTTTGTTTTTCGGGTTTTGTTTTAATAAAAGACAATATTTTTTTCCTTGAAGGAACATTTATGAAAACCATTTCATTCTAAGTCACCAACTGCTCTCTGACTACCTGCTCTAGCCCCAGCCAGACGGCATCGTCCGGCATCTCTAAGATCAAACTACACTTACTGAAACTTCATGGAACATTCTAGATGTTGTTTTTCCTGCCCAGAGGGTTTTCTCTGCCTCCAGTCAGGACGCGACCCAGTCGTGAGGCCCCAAGTGGGTGGCTGGCAGGTACTGGGGTCTTCCCATGAGGGGCCTGGGTCCCTTTGGGGCCTCCTTAGTGTCATTTAAAGGGATCGAGGTTCCTGATGAGGAGAGGCTCTCTGTCACTCCTGCCCACGGCTGCCTGTGTCAAGGGCAACCCCCCGGCCAGTGCCCTAGAGGGTCCCCTGCCTCCTCACAACCTCTTCTCAGCTGTGCTGGGGCCACCAGTCACATGGTCAAGGTTAGCCCAGCCCACTTCTGAGGAGGCCGGCTTCTGGCCAGGACACACCAAGGCCTGGGGCCAGGAGACCATGTGTCCACTCCAGGAGGTGGCCTGTCCATCCCCGGGCTCGCCTTGTTGTCCCCTATGGCCCTTTCTGGACTTCAGAAACCTACCTCCTCTTAGTGTCAAACAACAGGTGGTTCTCACTATTTCGTTACGAATGGTTCCCTGTGAGGTGTGCTGTGGGATCTCTGAGGTGACATGTTTTAAAATTACCAGTTTTACACAAAATTAGAAGGAATGCCATGGCTGATAAGTTACATCAATGTCTCCAGTAACAGTGAAGCTGAACAAAGTGATGTTAAAGTCCTGACCCTACTTACTTATAAGATGCTGTCATTTTTACTTCCATCCACGTCCTCCTCTTGTGTGTTCGCTTTGGAAGATCTATGCAGGGGTTTTCCAACATTTTGAGTTTGAAACTTGATGTTTAATTTTAACCTGTACTGGAAAAAAAAAGCGGAGAAAACAATGAAAGCTTTTTTACTAGGTGGCACATTTGTACACTTCATGTTTGGACACAGGTTTGGAGTTTGACTATAATTATTTAACGTATATTGAAATTTTACTTTTGTGGCATTAATTTTTTTCTATAACAGTAAATTATGTCCAAAGTGATTTTTTTATCCCTGAAACACTGGTCACATCACGAATCCAGTCCTCTGATGATATGCGCATTGAAGGACTATTCTGAGGTTGCTAAAATTCTTTTCCACCAAACTGCACACTCAAGCAAGCACTCAGGAGCCCCGCGGGACTCTGTCACATCCTTGTGACTCCTGGCCCCTGAGGCTGTACAGTTTCTTTCTCTGAAGCGATTCCACAATTGCGGGAAGTGGCCACAGCTCCTTTCTCCCAAGGCTCACCCACCCTCACTCCCCAGGCCGGAGGTGAGTGGTGCCAGGCCAGGTGACTTAGCCATTCCTTGGTGGGAGGAAAAACAGTGTTCCCAGGATTGGCAGTTGCTGGGATATGGGAGCAGGAAAAGAAAGTGAAATGTAAGGAACTTTTGAGCGTCTGTAAGAAATCGCTCAGGTTGAGGGAAGTCAGCAGCCCTTCTAACATGCTGCAGACATTTGCCAAGTGTGCACACAGCAGCACTTTCCCGCCCGGACCTCACCCCTCACCCCAGCGCTCAGCGGACATGCCATTCCCTCCTCATTCCCTGTCCCCACTCCCACCCGCCCTCACTTTGGTTAAACATTTTACCTAAGTTTGTCTTGTTGTTCTTCACAAATTCGCTTATTCATTGATCTTCCCCATTGATTCGAATGTGTCTCTTAAAGCTTGGAAGTTTTATAGGAATTGAAAGCATATTCCCAGCACATGAGTAAGACTGAGTTCTAAAATGTCTTGAATAAATAAGCATGTAGTAAAGAGTTTAACTTTGCCTCCAAAGAGGCCTGACCTTTGCCCTCAGCTGCTGGGAAGTCATCTCTAAGCCTTCGGAATGTCACACCTAGTAGGGGTATCTGTGTTGGCCAGGGGCGTTGGCCGAGCCACTAGGAATAGTGTGATGTGGACGGGGACTTTCAGTGACACAGGATCAGCTGGACCTCCACAGGGGCTGAGGCAGAGACTGGTCATGTGGGCTGTCAGTGAACCCCAATAAAGACCCTGGACACTGAGTCTCGGGGGTCTGCCCTGGCTGACACTCTGAACATGTCACACATCGATAGTGGGAAAGGAACACTGTCAACACCACGGGGAGACGACATGCACGCTCCACACCAATGCTCCAGGACTCTGTGCCACCGCCCTGCTCCCTCAGCGGACCCTACCTGTGTCCTCTCTCTGGAATAAAACACGACAATGACTAGAGCAACATTTGAGAGCTCTGTGAGTCCTTCTAGACTATTGTCAAACCTCAGGGTGATCTTGGGGACCCTCAAACTTACAGCTGCTATCAGAGAGGGGTGGTCTTGTGAGGACTGCCCTGTCCCTTCAAACTTCACAGTTGGCTAACTTCACAGCAAATAACAGGAAAACCCAAGTCAGAGTCTTCCTTCTGGTATTTTTCAGACATAAAAGAAAAACTGGAAAGGAAAAACTGATAGAATTAAATTTGTGTGTAGGTTGAAAGCAATGATTCCATTTTCATTTAAATTTAGGAGCAGGTATGTAAATAAAATATACACCATATAAATTGAAGAGAGAGGTTTCCTAAATAGGAAGAGTATTGAAGAAATAGTAATGGTGATTGAAAATAGAGTTTCTGGGGATAATAAGATTTAATAAAATAAGATCTTTAAAGGAGAAGATCAATATAACTTTAAAAGACAGAAAATAAAAGATAATGCAGTCTTTCAGAAGAAAGGGAGATAAATCAGTATGCTGAGAAATAGCAGAATTTAAAATTTGTTTTAACTTTGATTTCCTACATTTAAAAGGAAAGTGTGTAGTTATTAATGTTTGTGCTATCTATTGAGCTAGTATAGCTATAGTTTACAATGTTTTGGCATAAATTGAAATTTGTAATTAAGGGGAAACTTTTAAGGTCTTGTCATCCAGGTCGTGTAGGAGGGAAGGGATGTCTGTCTCCTCAGCAGAAAATAAAATTTGACAAAATGAAAGGACAAGCGAAAATGGTTGGCTATGAAATGACCAGGCCCTCCCGGGCCTCTTCCAGGAACGAGGCCTGATGACCAGAGTGTGAAACCGAGTCACGCGCAAGACGGCTGGAGGAGTGTGCTTGATTTGTGAAAAGCAGAGCCCCACACGAAGCACATATTCAAACTGGAGAACGATCTTTTTGTTTCAATCATTATTTTAATTTTATCAAGACAAAACAGTCTTCATGTCATGAAACGTTTCCAGTTCCTTCTGCAGCAGCCCTGTTCTCCCAGACATTATTAGGCATTGGTGGTTAAATTTAACATCGGATGATGTGAAGTGAAACACAATTTCCCCATTTTAAAGGCAAAACAAAACAGAACAAAACTGCAGGGGGTTTTTTTGTTGTTGTTTTGCCTCCCGGGTTGAGTCTCATTCCCAAACAAGGTTTAGTTTCCTTTGACTCGATTCTGATGCTGCCTCAGCAGTTTTCCTTGCTGAGAAAATGCAGAACTCATGGGATCTTTGCAGGGAAAGGCCACTTCTGTCCTTCTGTGGGGACGAGTATAACAAAGCGCGGGTGCCAGCCCTCTGCTGCTTCCAGTGGCACCCACGGCAGCCTCGCAGGGACATGCTCCCACCTAACTGCTCCGCGCACAGCGACGCCGTGGAGGTGTCGGTGGCCGCGCTGCTGCTGCTGGAGTGTGGGCTGGGCCTGCTGGGCAACGCCGTGGCGCTCTGGGCTTTCTTCTTCCGCCTGAAGGTATGGAAGCCGTACGCCGTCTACCTGTTCAACCTGGTGGTCGCGGACCTCCTGCTGGCCATCTGCCTGCCCTTCCACGCGGCCTTCTTCCTGGGACACAAGACCTGGGGCTTGGGGCGCGAGTCTTGCCGAGCCCTGCTGTTCCTGCGCGCCCTCAGCCACGGCGTGGGCATCGCCTTCCTCACCGCCGTGGCTTTGGACCGTTATTTTCGAGTGGTCCACCCTCGGCTCAAGGTCAACCTGCTGTCCTCCAGGGGGGCCCAGGGGCTCTCAGGCCTCGTCTGGATACTGATGATCGCCCTCAGCCACCAAAGCTTGCTCGCCTCGGAGGCCGAGTGCCCCGGTTCTGACCCCAGCTCTGAAGGGGGCGTCTCCTTCAGCCTCACCTGGCAGGAGGCGCTGTCCTTCCTCCAGTTCATCCTTCCCTTCAGCCTCATCTTGTTCTGCAACGCCGGCATCATCAGGACCCTGCAGAAGCGGCTCCGGGACACGGAGAAGCAGCCCAAGCTGCAGCGGGCCCGGGCGCTGCTGGCCGCGGTCGTGGTGCTGTTCGCACTGTGCTTCCTGCCCAGCTTTCTGGCCCAGAGCCTGATGGCCATCTTCCGAGGGACGGACAGCTGCAGGTTCCTGAGAGCCATGGTGCACACGGCCGACGTGGCCGGCAGCCTCGCCGGCCTGCAGAACGTGCTGAACCCGGTGGTGTACTGCCTCTCCAGCCCCGCGTTCAGGCACTCCTACCGCAAGGTCTTCTCCACCCTCAGAGGCCGAGGGCAGGACACTGAGGCTCCGGGCTGCGACCTCCGAGACTCCTACTCCTGAGGACAGCCAGCTCCGCCAGCCCCGCTGTTATGGGCACAGCCGGGGAGCTCAGTAATGATGACCGTGAGTTAGGGCTCCGGGAGAAGAGGACGCCTGGAGGCCGCCCTGCGGAGACCAGGTCACAAACTTGGGCAGAGCTGCAGCAAGTGCTGTGATTTATTGTGTTTCCCAGGGTTCTCTTCTGCTACTTTATATAATAGGGCAGCACATCAAACAGCGGAAGACTTTGTACAGAGCTGTAATGCAGGCTAAATTGCTAAATTGAAAACTTAGGCAGCCCCTGCATAGCCACACCTGCGGAAAGGCGCTCTGATGGATAGGTAGTGGAGGGGGGTGGGGGCTGGAAGCTGGTGTTATTCTGACTCCAGCTGGTCCTCATGAGTCATTTTCACTTTCTTTCTTCAGTCTGTAAATGCAAAACCTCTGTGCTGTCTTCCCACCTGTTGCACAGATGTGCGATGACTGGGAAAGGGGGCTTTGGGGTTCTGCAGGGAGGTTCCGGTATGTATTAGCTGTCTTCCATACTCAGCTGTATTCAGCACATGATGTGTTTAGTTTTATAAATGTTTGCTTCATTTGTATAGATTATGCGTTACGTCAAAGACAATACAGCTAGTTCCCTATTTTATTATAGGAAATACTTTCCTACTAAATGTGTCAAAAATGCCTCTAGAACTTTTTTCTAAATTTGAATGTTCAAATGCCTTTAAACCTTACTTTGCTTTCCTTACTATAAAAAAGTCACAGTACTTTCTGCGTCCTGGGAGAGACACGCAGTGAGAGCTATCAAATTACCTGTAAAACGGTGCTTTTCTCCCCAATACTGTGGCGTGACTCGTGCAGAAGTCAAGCCCCTGAGGGTGGGAAGACCACTGCAGAGAAGGTGGGTACGGCCTCCACCCCCAACCCCTGGACACGCCTGCAACGGCTGCATCTTTTTGTCTTCTTCCTCTTAGATTATGTCCCAAACTTGGAGCTCATGATGGTGACGAAGGACTTCAGAAGCTAACTTCCTAACTGCCTTATCTCTCATTCTCCGTTCAAATCTGGAAATATGGCCCCCAAAAGGGACTCACCAACATGCTCAGAGGAGGCACAGGGTCTGCTTTGTAATGACAGGGGTCCCCTGAGCTCCCCACCTGGCAGCCTCGCCTGGAGCTGCACCTGTATTGTTCACCTGGGGAGACCACTGCTTTCCCCAGGGACTGGTCCCAGGACTTCTGTAATGTTGAAGGTTAAAACTGGTGGTGTTAAGCTATAGAAAATGGTAAAACCACTGCCACTCCTAGAGCTGTCTGCCTACCAGGGAGGCTCCTCATCAGAACAAACTTGAACCCTGAGCGTGTCCCCACTCTTGTGCTCATGAAGCACGTGACAGCCTGACAACGGGAGAGTAATGCATTCAGTTTTCCCAGGGGAACGGCATCCTATCAGCAACTCCATGCTGTCTCCTTACATTTCATTTCCACCCAAGTCAATATAAATTCAAAGGGCTTAGAAGGGACATGCCTGAGAGCAGGTGAAGATGTGAAATATCTGAATAAAATTATCAGGTGTGAACACATTCTACACTGTGTCTGTTTGCTTCCCTTCTAGCTAAAGAAAAAAAATGCCTCTTTTTCTTTCCTTGATCTTACCGCACGTACAATTTCATTTTTTATTTTATTTAAAATTTTTTATTGGGGAATTAGAAATGGGAACAGTGTTGGGGAATTGGGGAAGGGGAACATTGTGTTTTTCCAGGACCCATCAGCTCCAGGTCAAGTTGTTGTCCTTCAATCTTAGTTGTGGAGGGTGCAGCTCAGCTCTAAGTCCAGTCGCCGCTTTCAATCTAGTTGTGAAGGGAGAGGGAGGAAGGCGCAGCCCACCATCCCATGCGGGAGTCGAACGGAACCAGCAACCTTGTTGCACACTGAGCCATCCGGCCGCCTGTCAGCAGCTCGCGGCTGCTCAGCTCAAGGTGCCAGATTCAATCTTAGTTGCAGGAGGTGCAGCTCACCATCCCATACTGGTGTTGAACCCGCAACCTTACTGCTAAGAGCACGCACTCTCACCAACTCAGCAGCATCTCAGCTGGGGCGCAGCTCACTGGCTCATGTGGGACTCGAACCAGTGACCCCATGTTGCTCAGAGCTTGCACTCTCAACCAGCTGAGCCATTGGGCCGGTCCTGCATGTACAATTTTAAATGCTGCTGCTACAAAAAAACTACAACAAAAAAACCCTGACATGTCACATAAACCTTTTCCATATTATGATTAACTCCCCACTTATCTCTATTTGACTGCCCTATAATCTACCAGCAGATGTTTCTTAACCATTTTTCTGCCGTGGGACATTGAGGTCTGCAACTATCTACATAAGTAAACCCACACTGTGGAGTCACATGTCACCTGACAGATGTGGGATAAAGCCAGCCCGCACCGGCTATCTGAAAGGCTTGTGGGCCAGCACTGGGCACTCACTGCATCCCAAATACAGGCCCCTCTGGCCCCTTCCCTGGCTGCACTCGGCCCCTCCCCCACTCTCAGGTTAGCTTGCAAAAGGGGGAAGTCTCCTCATAGTGACTACTTCTCAGGGTCTTGCCCGCAGTTTCCTGGCACAGCCGGGGGCCCTCCTCTCTGCACAGCCGTGGGCCTGCTCAGTGCACAGGCTGGGAAAAACCATCATGCATCAGCGAGCCCCGTGTTCTGACTCGGCTGGCCTGGGGAGGGGCCTGGGCACTGGTATTTTTGAAGTCCTCTCATTGATGCTGTTACTGTGCAGTCAGGGCTGAGAGTCAGCAGCCAAGGCCAAGCCCTTTAAGTCAGCATCCTGCTCTGTCATTTCCTGTGTCGCGACCTGGGGCAAATCACCAAAAGGCCCTGAACTTTCCTCCTCTGTAATATGGAGATCATACAAACCAACCCGTGGGAGCATTGTGGGCATTAAATAAAATAATGACTAGAGCGCTGAGCACAGAGCCTGGCATGAGATACACGCTCAGTAGGTGTGACTTTGCTATGTTCAAGTCATCCACTGTCTATTATCTTAGTTTTTGTCCCCAGCCAGACTGTGCCCTTTGGGGACAAAGCTTTTCATCTGCACACTCTCAACACAGAACCTGGCACAGGGCAGGTGCTCAGTGAACTGGATGTCAAAAACTCTGCCAAACTTAAAGGCTGTCAGCATGCTTCCTTTCTGGCAAGTCTTTTCCAGGCTTTATGTAAGGGTTCTGTCTGACTCAGATTTATCCCGCACCCTGTGAAGTGGACAATATTTTTTTCAGGATTCTGTGACTGCCCGTCTCTAAGGGTGTCTTCGGTGCCCTGTCCCATCACTGCCACCAAGGATGCCTTGCGGTCCTGTGCCCAGCTGGTTTCTTCTTTAAAGAGATGGAGTAACGGGGCTCTTACCCTTCTCCAAATGATTTTCTGTGAGTACGGAAATGACTCAAAAGCCAAGTACGGGCAGACAGTAAATGGGCCTCAGAGCCACAGTATTTTGCTGTCAGCAGCAAGTTTTAGTTTCTTTTCTCCGTGGCTCACTTCCCGTAATACTGCAGGTGCTCAGCCTTGTCCGCAAGGCCTGTCAGTCTCAG